GCGGGGCAGGGAGGGGCAGAGTTTGTTTGGAAATGCAATTAGCCCGAGCGTGCAGGCCCGGGGCAAGGCAGGAGGATAACCTTGAATCCAGGGAAAGAAAGTGAGGGGGAATTTAAAGCCATCTGCAGCTCCAATGGGTCCCCACACGCCCCTTTCACTCGCAGTTTCTGTGCACGCCAATAAAGTGCGAGAAGATTCGCAATACAATGGGAAATTGCTTCTTTGGGTATCACAGTATCTCGACTTAGAAGTGCTTTAACCTTGGCCTCATGCTTCCTGCGGGGCCTGTTTGCTCTGCTGCAGAAGTGTCGACACCAGCCAGCAAYGTATAGGATTTTCCATCTGAGTAAAATTAAACCCCGAAACCTTTACCATCCTCTCGATGCCAGACATGCTCTACCTGCATTAACTTGAGCTTAATGGACTGCAAAACGAGCCTTTCAGCGTGTATGGGAGTGGATTATTTGCAGGAGAGCAAGTTCCTCACATTTTTATCTCTTCCCTTTCCCAAAGCTTTTGTCCTTTAGATTAAAAAAAAAAAAGGCAAATACAGCCAAATTACAGGAAGGGAGCCAGACCCTAGAAAGTCCAGAAAACTGTTTGGGCATGGCAGAGGGTGCCTTCACCATGCCAGGTAAGCAATGAAAAGAGCAGCAACCACTCTTAAACCAAACTGATGTTCATTAGCACAGGCCTTGGTGGCAGTGTTGGGGACTGTACAGACACTTCTGGCCGTGCTTTCCAGCAGGTCAACTCAACACCTCACCCTGGCTTTATTGCAGCCTTTCCTAAAGTCCTCCAGGGTAGGACCAGAGGCTGCAAAAGACAGAGCCTGCTGGTGGTGGGATGCTCCTGTCTGCAGTCTCCACTGATCCTCTCATCCTGTTGCACAAGGGGCTGTGGTTTTGCACTGAAGGAAGGTCAGTTTATATTGGATATCAGGAAGATATTCTTTACAATGAGGRTGGTGAGGCCCTGGCACAGTTTGCTCCATCCCTGGAAACRTTCAAGGCCAGGCTGGATGGAGCTCTGAGCAACTTGGTCTAATGGAAAGCATCCCTGCTGATTGCAGGGGGGTTGGATTAGATGGACTTTAAAGGTCCCTTCCAACCCAAACTATTCTGTGAGTCTATGATCATCACACATCATTTGGAAGGACAATGTAAAGCCTGGTGAGCACCCTTTTTCACCTGCTTCCTTGGAGTTTTGCCTTTCAGATTCACAAGAATTATTTCCCAAACTCCCTAGGCCTGCATTTGGCTGTTTCTCCACTGCTGGAATACCTGAAGAGAGAACCCATATGGGTAACAGGATAATCCCAATGCATAACCAGGACAGAGAGTGGGCTGGTGGTTTCTCTTCARGCTTTCATGGGTTATCACTGTCAAGAGAACAGCAGCATGGAACACTGTGTGTGCTTAATGACCAAAAGTACCTTCACTGTGTCCTTCCCAGTGCCAGATGCCTTACAATCTAAATGAGGATCTTTAACAGTGGCATTAATTATTACTGAAAGCCTGCTTTGTCCCACTGAAACAAGTCTAATAGCTCACGCTTGTTCTTGCTCTCTCCCYGTCCTTTTCTCAAATCACCATCTCCTGTATCTGATGCCAGCGTCAGAAAGGCTCCTCTCACCTGACTGCTTGGGCCACCRGCATGGGGTGATGTGCACAAAAGGTCAGGCACAGGTCCCAGCTCCAGGGCTGCACCATGAGCTGAGGACTGGGAAGGATGCCCTGAAATTGTCAGAGAATGTCACTTGGTACTACTATACCCACTCTTGCCTTCTTTTGTGAGAAGCCCAKTGCCAAGAAAATACCAGCTCCAAGCTCCCAGGGATGYAGATAACTAATTRAAATAATTAATTAATTAAATGTAGATATCTCTTCCCCMTGAGGGTGGTGAGGCCCTGGCACAGGGTGCCCAGAGAAGCTGTGGCTGCCCCATCCCTGGAAGTGTCCACAGCCAGGCTGGACAGGGTTTGGAGCAAYCTGGGATAGTGGAAGGTGTCCCAGTCATGGCAGGGGRTGGGATGYGATGATTTCTAAGGTCCCTTCCAACCCACACCATTCCCTGATTCTGTGAAATAATGGCGCCAGGGGAGCCACCACACCATCAGAGGACATGAAGTGAGAAAGGAGAGCTGCAATTGTCTCATGAGCAGCCATGGGTAAGGCCCAGCTGCCTGCCCAAAAGATGAGGCCATCTCTGCGGATGGGTGCAGCCATCACCTGTCCCCATGGCCTCGGCAGGGTCAGGACCAGTCAGTGCTGGCAGGGACTGGATTCTGTGCCATTCCAAAGGAGCTTGCCTTAGCTTTCTTGCTGGGTTTTGTCTTCCCTTACAATTTCCTAGTGCATAGTTATCCCTTTGTGTGGCTGAGTGGGGACATGAACTGGCACCTTCTGAGAGCAGAGCTCTCCTTGGGACTGGAGTTAGTCATGGTAAAAAGATACTTTCTCTTTMAAAAAGGAGGTATCTCTGCAAATACAAATAAATCCCTATGGGATATTAGATGGACCTTTAAAGGTCCTTACCTGCCCCAGTCATTCTGTGATCCTAAGTACATAAATACAGGCACTTCCTTCCCATTCCTTCTATCCCCTGTGTTTTAAAAGCTAAGCTTCCACACCACAAGGAAGGTGGATTCTTGATAAATTTTTCATTTTCTCTATTGACTTGCTGTTGCAAACCCACATCCTTTTGCTATGTAAAGGGCATTCATTTGCCTTTTATCCACATGGGCCCTCTTTCCCCTTTAACAACCACCAAAGAGAAACACTTTATTGCTCTTGCTGTGCTGGAATCCTGGGATTTGCTCTTTGCTTTTACCTGTAGCAGAGCTGTGGCTGGAGAGGGGATGTTGCAGTGGATCTGGCATCAGGGGACAGTCACCAGGGCACTCAGCTCTCTGTGTGCCAMTGAAGCCATTAAATGCTGCTGCCCCAGGAGCACTGGTAGGATGGAGAGTACCCAAAGTTTGGGATTTTCCCAGTCTTAGCCTGGTTTGGAACGTGCTTTGCAGCTTCCTGGGGAGAAAGACATTGTCCTGCTGTGCTTCGGAGCTGASTCAGCCCCCCCTGGGGTGTGCAGGAAATAATTCTGCAATTATAAAACAATCTTGACTAATGGCATATTAATGAGGACAGGGAAAGGTGATGCTCCTGGGATGGGCTTTCCCACTGCCAGGAGGGGGCAGCTGTACACAGCTGCTGCATTTGGRGGGCAACAAGTGGCATCACATCAGAGGGGCTAGAGGAAGGACTTTTTCTGACTGTTTCTGCAAAATTTACTGTCACTCCTGCAGAAGGTGTTGCCTCTAAGCTGTGCACTCTCTGACCTGCACTTTTGCTCCAGCTTCAGTCCTTTTGGCTCCCTTTTCTAGCCACATCTCCTWGTCTGTATCCTTTCCACTTCCCCTCAGTTTTCCAACCCATCAACTCTACCTTCCCCTACTTTCAGGCCCCTGCTCTTCCCTACCCCTCAGCATCTTCCCTTGCCTTTATCCACCTTCTCTTCTCCATGTCCCACAAATACCTGTTGGATTTTCAAGACTGTCAGTCTGGGGGGACAGGGAGGAYGCTGCCCAGGGAGGAGGTTGTGCTCCCCCATCTGATAACATATGTATCAGGCACCTTTCCCTTCAGCTGGCAGCCTCTGGGAGCCCAAGACGAACCTTTCAACAAGATTAAAGAGATGGTATTAATTGCTATCGATCACGGGTCAACAAATTAAATTGCATCTGCAACTGCATCTCTGAAAGGTCTAAATGAGAAGAGTAGTTAATGGGTCTGGCTGGCCCAGAGCTGTGATTAATTAAAGGCAGAAATGAACTACAGCATTAAAAATTAAAAGAAAAAGGCAGAAAGGAAGAAGATCGGGATGAGGATSAAACGCTGAAGTGTATTTGATAGGATTTCAGTTCTGGATCCACCCTGGCCTGATRGGAAGCAGAGATAGTGGCAATGATTTTTGGGCCTACTGCCCAAGCACCCCCAGTGCTGTGGGAACACTGCTCACCTGTGATTGGCAACTGTTCCACATTAACAGGGGAAGTTTTCCCAGAAAATCTGATCTGTGCCCTTTGCTTCTTCCAGCAGTCCCAGGTCTTTTCCCACTTGGTGTTTGGGAAGAGCTATGGGATTCYTCAGTGGGACTGTGTGTCTGACCCTGCTGGATTTGGGGGAATCAGATCCCTGCTACAGTCTGTGCCATGGAGACTCAGATCCGTGATGGGATCTGAAGGGTTTTTCCCTCAGCCCTTTTATTCCCCTTTGTTTGTAGACATGGAGCCCTGAAAGAGTGAAGGACAAAAACCCAAGCGTTCCCAAGTTGCTTAGCAATCCCACTTCTCTTCCTGTGCCAATCCCACACCACAGCATCCYGGTGACAGCTGGGAGAAAAGTCCTCCCTGGTGGGAATAAGGGCGCTGCTGTGACTCTTTGGGAAATAATGAAGTAGCACAGCATGGAATGGAGATGGTACTTAATTAATAACGAAGAAAATAATAATATGTGGCACGTATAGTGCTGTACTTGTTCCAAGCACTGTACAAACATTAACTACAGTAATTAAGCTGTAATTAATTAGAGTAACTACTAATCAGTGTAAATAACGATGCATCTGGAGGTACCAAATGGAGTTTGTGAACTGAAAGCAAATTTCCATGTTCAGGAAATGGCATCAAATATAAAATGGTACCAGTAAATAGCAAAACCGAGCGTTTTCCGGAGTTTCAAGTAAGAGCCTGGGAGCTGTGTCAGTCTGTGGCAGCTCCCCAGACAGGAATTCCTGTCTGGCAAAGCAAAGTTGGTTTACTGAGCAACCCATCCCATCCATGGGATTCTCATGGCTCCAAGTAAGCTCTTCCCACCCCAGCTGCACTCACCAACAGTGTGAAGAGACCGGGCTGGAGCAAGGGATGGGATGGGGAATTGGGAGCTTGAGGAGCTGATGATCGGCAGAGTAAAATACACCACAAATATGTAATTTTGGTGGTTTTTGCTGGTTCACACACTTTATATTTAACAAAATAATTTTTTAATAATATAGTCTTTTACACATCAAATATTGTTTCTAGGACCCCTCCCATTTTTACAGATTTTTTTTTCTCACTAGTTTCAGGCACACTATTGTTTGAAAGTTTTGAAACTGGATAGTCATTGACAGGCAACAGCTTACAAAGAAATGGCGATGACGTCTCGTACGCTGCCAGCTCAGCCTGCAGGGAGCCAATGCTCAGCCACAGGACAGCACTCATTGCACCCCTGCCCTCCAGAAAAACACCAGAATGGAGAACAAATAAAAGTAGAAAGGCAACAGAGTGTATAAACCGAGCCCGATGTGCTGATCCACTTGGTGAGGATGCTGTGGGGAGGATTTGCTGCCATCGCTGTCGAGAAAGTGCTGGACTGGAGTCTGAACTCTGAACAAAATATGCACCACCACTCTCATGACGAAAAAGCAGGGAACCAAGCATGGACAGTGATGGGAAAGCCTGGGCAGACAGGGCAGGGAGATGACAGTGGTGGCTTTTCTTTCACAGTTTTGCTTGGAAGCTGCAGCCTGAGAAAGCAGGAGATGTCAGTGTTAAAAAGCCTGACRGGGACCCTCAGCTGCTGGGGGTTCCATGGGGACTCTGCTCCTGGCAGGGCAGGCACAGAAAGCAGCTGCTTTCTAGAGAGAGCTCTCACTCACCAGAAGCTCACCCCAGAACCACTGCACCGTAGCTTGCTCCATCCCCAGCAGTGTGGATGCTCCCAGGGACAGCCAGGGCGGCTCCCTCTCGCCACAGCAAAGGGTCTTACCTGCCAGCTGAGCCAGTTAAGTGCTGCCACAGCCACGGGACCTTCCTGGAGACCTTGAGAGTGGGGGGATCCCGTACTTGAATTGTGACCTGCTGTCGCTGAAGGCAATGAAACACCACCCTTGGCTCCAGCGAGAGCAGCGTTGGCATGGGGCACGGCAGGTGAGCACACGCTCAGCCTGAGAASCAGGAACAGCTGGGACCCTCCTCCCTCTGCCCCACCACTGATGGCCCAGCCAGGAATCACACACAGACAACCCAGGTAAGATGCTGCTTTCACGGAGCACCTTCTGGCTGGCTGCCCCAGCCTGCCCACGCAGCTGCTGGGGGCTCTGCTCCCATCAAGGTCMCGGTGACTGTGTAGGTGTCTTTGACTTTATTGTCCCCACTCAGTGGAGAAAGTGTAACACAGATACAGCTTTGTGTCTTGGCTGTCCRGTCTATACTTGTGCATCTACCTCGGTCCTGCTGCAGGTTACATTCCAGCTGGGTTTTTTTTTAACCCTCCCCATCTCTTTTAATTTCTACCTCCCTCCTGTCCTTAGTGCCACCTGCGCKTACAGACACAATAAAAATGCTCCACCTATTGCTCCACTCATAGCTGTATTGTCCTGACGATCCCAGCTTAGGAAGAGGCTTTAAAAAAAAAAAATCACAATAGCAAAAAACCCTCAAATAAATAAACGTGAAAAACCCCACGATCCACACTGTAGAAAGTGAGAGCAGTGAATCGATCAGCATCTCGGAGGCCTCGCCAGGCCAGGAAGGTGCATGGACTGGTTGCTGTTGTCCTCCCCCAGTCCGAGCAGCGCATCCCTGCCAAGCACTGAGTTACAGCAGCGCAGCAGACACCGGGACACCGGGCACAGGGTGTGGAAAGTGGGAGAAGAGCAGGAGGGGGCACGGGGGACCCTTCCCCGCGGGTACAAATCTCTGCTCATGTGGCACCCTCGCAGGGCTTGCTGCTGGCCCCGCTGCAGCTGGTGGGAGGTCGGGCGCATGGGCAGCATCGAAGCCGTTCCTTCATCACCATCATCACCATCACCATGAGCTGTTGGCTGGGGGCTGCTGCTACAGAGCCTGCTTGCCCTGGCACTCGCGCTTGGAGCACTGCGCCGGCTTCCACCAGTCCCCGTTGTGGCAGTGGCAGATGTTGCAGTCGTCCACCTTCACCTCGATGCCAGCGGGAATTATCGTGGTGCCTGCAAAGCAGTTGGGACCTGCAAAAACAGGTGACAGGGGTGACAGGATAAATACTCTGTSTTTCAGATTGGGCTGCTCTAAGCCTGGCACAGGTGGGTGCCCGGCCCCAGCCCCTTGCTGTGCTCTAAAATCTGCAGCAATGCTCCCATCTTGCGCAGAGCTGAGCTTTTCACCCACAGCAATCCCTTCTCTCATTTTTTGGTTGCCTTCAGGCACTAAAGGGAAAAAAAAGGCCTTGAAACTGCACCCAGCCCCTAGGACAAATGGCATTTGCACTCAGCTTTTTCTACTCAGTTGACCACTGAATACCTCTTTCTCCTTAAATTTTGGCTGCAAGACAGACAAGACCATGAGGACAAGCATGAGGACACAGCCCAGCCTTCACTGCTGCAGCCTGGYRAGCCTGCAGGGAGCTGCAGGAACCAGAGCCAATTCACCCCTGAGGGCCATTGGCAGCCATGCTCCAACACCAGGTAACCCCAAGGACCCCCACCAGCTTGGAGCTATTAGCCATAAATGCTTTATTGCAGCACCTCTCAAATAAGCTTTCTGATAAAATGTGGAGATTTTTTTCCTCAAGGCTAATTCCTTTAATCTGTTCATTATTGCTTTGGATCTTTCTTTTTTTTGTCTTTTTTTTTTTTTTTGCTTTTTTTTTTTTTTTTTTTTTTTTTTTTTTTTTTTTTTTTTTTTTTGCTTCTTTATTACATAATATCAAAGCTGAGCAGCACATCAGCCAGGATCTCATTTCCCAGTCACACAGTGGTTGGGGCTGGAAGGGATCTTAAAGCCCTTTCATCCTCATAAAAGCCCCACAAATATCCACTGCCCATCTGTCCCTCTTCCCCTCTCACTCCTGCACCACTTAGTGCCAGGAGTTAATGTCAGAGCCAGCAGCACACACAACAAATCTGAGGCAGTCGCGTTGGGGGCATTGGGRAAACATAAAGACATTTGAAAAGTGTCTTGTGGCTCGAGTGCTGCTCCGAAATGTCACCCCTCGGCTGGCCACCGGTTTTAATTTATGCCTCCAGTGCATGAGGTGCATTCCAAAGGTGACTGTGTGCAGACATGGAATAATGGGCAAGTCATTCCTTAAGGCTTAGGCTTAAGGCTGTTTGAAAGGGAAACAGGGTCCCTACAAGGCTGGAAACAGGCTGAGCTGYAGCCAGCCCAGTGCAGGGTCCCACATTTTACAGTCTCAGAACAATTTATGAGTGCCCTGACCTCAGTAAGATGCTCCTCAGGGCCCTTTGCTGAACAGACSACGAGTTTGGCAGGGCTGGGCTTAACCAGACCATTCAGGGTGCCTGGGTGATATTTAAAGCAATCTCCAACCTTTAAGTCTCTTCCAATGCAGCTCTACAGCAATGTTTCACATCCATCTTCACAAGGCCTCAACACAAGGGCCTGAGACAGATAACCTGGATGGCTCCTGAACAGGGTGACAGGGTGCACCCCAGGGCTGCTATCTCCTTCCATGGGCAGCRCTTAGGAAGGCAGGCTGCAGCACTGGGACGGTCTGTGTGGCTCCATGCTGCCTCCTCCTTGGCCTAGCCAGCTCGTTAATTCCATCAGGATTCTGGGAAGAAGCAGGTTTTTACTCCAAACAGGGAGATTCAACAGCATTTGTTGAGCTAGAGCACAGGTGGCACAGGGCTGGCTGGCAGTGGGGATGTTTTAAGCTTTGAGCTGGGCTTTGAGCTGGACGAGCTCCAAAGAGCCCCTCCAACCTCAGGCATTCCAAACTGCCAAGAAATTTAAAGCCAAGAACAGGAACAGCCAAACTCCACATATGCACACACGGTATCTGTGTTTTTCTTTGCAGGCACGAGGTTAAAAAATTCATGACCTGTTTTGGTCATGAGCTGAAGATTTCAGAAGTTGATGTCTGTCTGGAAGACACCATCCTGGCTGGAAAGGCTGTGATCCCAACTGTATTATGCGGCTGGCAACRCACTGAAGTTGTCACCTTTGTCTCAGAGTCCCTGTGCTGGCTGCAACACTGCTGGGGCTCTTCATCACCTTGAATTCCCTGTTTCCAGGAGCCCGCTGGCTGGGGCTGTGTTAGGAGCAAACATGGGCATCGCTGTTGGGTCTCTTGCTGCCCTTTTATGTCCCGGGTTCAAATGCCATGAAAATTCCAGTAACTGCAGCTAGCTGTATCTGAAGTTGAAATAAATGCCTGGGATGGCAGATTAATGCTGATACCAGGGATGCCTGGGATGGGCAGCCTCCACACAACAGCTCTGTGATCCCAGAGCAAAAAAACCCCTTTTCATTGTAATATAAACAAAAAGCTTCCTCTGGAGATCAGGGAGGTAAAGAAAGGGGAAGGCCATCTTGCCTCTTGTTGCCCTGCCTGTTAATCACCTCATTTGAGAGGCTGGTGCTGCCTCAACACCCACACACCTCTCCAGACAGTTCTGTCTGGATTTACAGCCCATTCCTGGGGCTGGGAACAGGTGGGAGGCTGGCGGTGAGGGAGCCAGCACRTTTGCTGACTCACAGCTGAGTCCACTCTGCCTCCCAGACAGGCTTTGGGGACCCAACACCTCCCTCATGGGACTTTGTCACCCCAGTGGTGCCAGGGATCAGTCAGCCAAGGGTGATAGAGTTGGGACTGGCTGATTGGGTGCTGCCAACTGGGCAAAAGCTTTCCTTCATCCTGCTTGTCTGTCCATTCCATGGCTGCCCTTCCTCCTCCCAGCAGCCCCAGCTCTCTTCTCTCTCCAGGGGGTCATATGGTAATAAAGTAATCTGTAAATACCCCTCAATAATGTCCCTGTCCCAGGACAGGGAGGAGCAGAAAGCAGGCACCATGATGCAGGGAGGAGATGGATGAGGGGAATGTACCAAAAACATCACCAGTGCCTCTGAGGTCCATTCAGAGAGGGGATCCTTTATTCTGGGGACAGCAGCACAGGCAACGCCCCTGGCCTTGCCAAGGACATGGGACAACTCTGCACATCCCTAAWTGAACATTAATGACCTGCCCCTCTGATCTCTGGCATCTGTTGAGCCTGGAAGGATCTGGCAAGCACCTCTATGTCTAACAGAAAATCCTTGGGATGCAGCCACCACCCCAAAGGGAAAAAGGTGGAAATGACAGCTATTTTGGRTAAATCCCAGGGACTGGCCAAACCTGGGCTGCCCAGGATCACCTGAGCACACCCAAGGAATGAGCTGTAGTCAGAGGCTGAAGTGTGGGAAAGATCACAGCAATTGGGTTTGTTTTCCTCCTTCCTGGCTTTTAGCAAAACAGAGGAAAACGTGGCTTGGGGCTCTACTGACATCTGCCCTCCTGTGGATGTTCTGCCTCTCTCCTGTCAGACTTTAGTACTCCTAATTTGGGCCAGCACTGCCACTGCTCTGGACCTTTTCTTTCCCAGCCCTCTCTCAAAATAGCCCCCTCTGCACTGCCAGAGTGAAATGGTTTCTTTTGCTTTATTGCATCCTCCCTCCCCGCTGCTATCCCCATCCCTATAGAAACATGGATTTCTAAYGGAAGGCAAAATTTCCACACTGCATTTGTGATAATTCAACTTAAATTCCCATTGCCTGAAATCCAGTTTTCCGGCACAATCACTATCAGCAGCCTCTCCCCCACCCTTTTTTTCCCCCATTTAAACATCTCCCACCTTCACACAGGAAAACTGGATCCTGTTTGTCCCAGCTGGGATGCAGCGAGTGTCACACSCATGGCGGAGGCACGAGAAAGAGGCACTCAGAGAGGGACACTGCACTGCTGAGTTAAGGTGAAAATATGCCCCAGCCAAGTGGCATTTTCTCTGCCATGGCACAAATCACCAGGGATTTTTCCAGAAACTTTGGAGTTTACAGTGCTGGCAGCTACTGGTGGGGATAACATCTGGCACCTTGGGATCTGTGTCGCTGTGCCATGTGTCTTGGAGGGGCTGCAGCCCCTAAAGCCATATCCAGAGCCCACAGCAAGAAACCAAGTCCTATTTTTTGCTCTGCAGCAGAGCTAAAGGGACTCGTTTAAATTCTCTAATATTCTTTCCCCACCCCAACATATCAAAAGCTTGGGGCCCCAAGCCAGCACTGCTGAGGACTGGCTTGAGCTTTTGCTACTGTGGCTGCTTGGAGGAATTGGATGAGACCAGGGTCTRCCAAATCAATGCCAAAACAAGCCCCAAACCCCCAAAGAATGACACAGAACAGCAATGTGGGATTTWAAAACTAAATTAAATTATTATTCAAAGGAAGATGCTGCTCAGAAACATTTGATGACATGTCAAGCACATCAGGTTACTTATGATAATAGCAGCAGGAAYAAGAAGCTGCTTTGGGCAAGGGCTGTCGTCCTGCTCTTGGTAAAAGCATCTTAAACCACGACTGTGATGATAACAGGACACTAATCACCCTTTTTCCTTGCTCAGGGAGACTGATGGGAGAAGTTTTCTGCTCCCRCAGACAGGGTAATTGTGAGATTTGCTTTGCTTAACATAGTTAATACTCATAAAAGCCCGCAGCACTCCAGGCTGTTTGCTAGAACAGCTGTGAAGATTTTTATGGAGATATATTAGGGACATTCAGATGCTGGTTTGATGGGAAAGATGAAAAAAAAATCATATTTGGTTTATTGTTTGGGGAGAGCAATGGAAAATTTTGTAACCATCTGCTGAAGACCAGGTCCTTGGGTGATGACCCTGCTCCACTGCACCCCTGCTCTGTAGGGAATTCGGGGTCAGGCTCTCTCCAACACCACRAGCTGACGCCTCGGAGCCACTCGGGGCTGAGCAGCAGCAGCAGCCCCCCAGCTCCCAGTGACTCCTCAGATGGGTTTGACTGAACTCAGCAGCTCTGCCCGTGGCTTTCAGCAGCTCTGAATTTAGCTTTGTGTGTGCAGAGAAACAATAAAAGGAAATCAAATGTTAATCAAACAGCAAGCACGGATCACTTCAGGCCAACTGTGATATTCAGATGTGCCCTGAATAGCATCTTGCCCCAGACAAAGCTCATCATCTCCACCAGAACTTCTCATTGTGAAACC